GGAGGGTTCTAGTCCCAGCAGTGATGATGACTGTTTTACTGCTATTGTATCCATTACCTGTTGTCATACTGTACCAATCAAGCACAGTCATCAAGTAGCAGAGATGCAAATTAAGAATAATGGTATGAACAGTCATAATAAATGTAAATACATTATGCATACATAATACTGTACAAGTCCAAAGAAGGCATGGAATAAAAAAGTTGTGAATCTATTCCTTTAAATCATTTCTAAATCTAGTTATGTCAGACTATATTTTAATTATTTTATATGAAAGTATCACATTTTTCCCTTTGATAGTTCCATATACTACAGCATGAAGAACTGCGTAGAAGTTCTGTCAAACTTTGAGCCCAATTCTGAAAATCTTAATCATAACTAATTTATAATTTATAAATTATATAGTTTTAATTTATTACATTCAATTAATCCCACTTACATTAATGGTACTGAATCTTTTAATTTTATTAGACACATCATCTAATTTAAATTTCAAAAGTCAGGATATAACCACAGCCCTTCTCAGGGCTTGGACTTCTGTTACATAGAGTATCTATCTGGTGTCTGTGCATATTGCACATCATATAGGCCATTTAAAACCAAGGTTCTGACAAAACATAATAATTACCCTAGGACACTCTGAAGAGGCCGAGTAGTTTAGTCCTGATTTCTCATCCAAATTCCAATAGTTATGTTTACCTTGTCCCAATTCTTCTGCAGTTTTAGTTCATGACTGTATTCTTCCTGTCTTCCAACCCTTGGCTTTCAACTTCAGAAGAACTTTTTTTTAATTGCACTTCAGGAGACAGACATGTGTGTGTGTTCAGCAAAGGGATCTCTACACATCATTTATCTCACAACTACATATTGCTACTGTGACTATATTTCAGAAGTAGCTCTCTCATACCTCCAAACAACAATTCTATAACATAGGTCTCCCATCCAAAAGAAAACTACTGATTTCTTAGTAGTTCTGGTGATGTGCAGTACAGAAAACATGAACTTTAACTTTAGATATACTTACATATTCAAATTATAATCCACTGATTCAAGCAATACAAGAAGGAGCTATTAAATTAAAGAAAGACCACTGTGGAATACAAATGCTAATATTACAAGAAATTACAAATACATCTATACAATACCACTACATTAACATAATTCTATAACATTTATTCGTTTATGTTACAAGTGTCTGATGCCCCAATCAAGGATCTACGTGCTATGTAAGCAAAAAAAAAAAAGAAGCTGTTCTTTCATTAGAGACCTCTTAAAATAGTTTTGCTTTGAAAGCTTTTTCTTCCAGGAAAAGTGCCAAGTTAAAAGAACAAAAATTTTTATTCAACACCTAACTCAATAGACATAACTTTTTACTATATGACACATTCATGCATATGAGAGAACGTCACTACATATCATAGAATCATAGAAGTTGGGTCAGAAGGGACCTTGTAGATCTTGAAGTCCGACCCCCCGCCTGAGCAGGAGAAAAACAGGGCTCAAACGACTCCAGCCAGGTAGGCATCAAGCCTCTTCTTAAAGACCCCCAGGGTAGGAGCCAGCACCACTTCCCTTGGACGTTGTTTCCAGCTCCTAGCCGCCCTAACTTGGAAGTAGTTCTTACGGATGTCTAATCTAAACCTACTCTCCAACAACTTATGGCCGTTATTCCTTGTTATGCCAGGGGGTGCTAGAGAAAACAAGGTCTCTCCCAAACCCTTCTGGTCCCCCCTAGTGAGTTTATAGACGGTCACCAGGTCCCCCCTCAGCCTTCTCTTGTGAAGGCTGAACAGGTTCAGGTTCCACAGTCTCTCATTGTAGGGTCTGCCCTGTTGTCCCCAGATCATGCGGGTGGTCCTCCTCTGGACCCTCTCAATGTTGTCCACATCTGTCCTGAAGTGGGGTGCACAGAACTGGACACAGTACTCCAGCTGTGGCCTGACCAGTGTATATAATGCACTGTCTTTACTGCTTGTCTGAAAAAAACATGGAAAGCCTAGCTATAGAAAAAAAAAAAAGCAATACTGTATGCAATCAGGCACATTTGGACTTTAATCATTTAATCTGGCTTCCAACAGCTGCCATGAACCATAGCCATATTTTCCAGTGTGAAAACATTTTTTATGAAAAGCATTATGTGGTTATCCTTTAACTAAAAATACAGTTCCAGCTGTGTGCACTAGATGTTAAAAGGGAACTGCATAAAAACAGTTAAGACATAAGAGCACTATAAAAATAAAATACAAAAATGATCAAAGTTGAACTATACTAAATTGAACGATCAACCAAATTTAGTGAAATGTGTCCACCTACACCAATCTCTTTTTTCCTGAAGATATATATACTGTATTCCTACTTCGGAATGACTGTTAACAGTTCAAGCTTCCTTCTATCAATTCATGTGCATAGGAAAGGTAGACATTTTAAAGTTCTTTAGCCATCTTTGTGATTCTTTTCATTACCAAACTGCCTCAATGTAAAATGTTCTAAGATTGTTTGAATGTATATGTAGCCCCCCCAGGTTACTTTGTTAATGATGAGAACATAATTACTTGCAGATTTAATTTTACAGTTACACTCTACATGTTTGTTCATGTTATAAAAACTTTTATTTGTTTTTTAACGTATTAAGAAACATTATATATGACTACATCATAGTCTCCTAGAGGTTTTGTGGAGTGACAATCCAGAAAAGTTTCACAGGGGGCATCATGTATAACCATTACCAGTTTACCCAAAAGGTGTCTGTACCATTTTGGGAACTTAGTATAGAAAGTAGTCATTCATACTTCTATTTTAAACCAAAAGTACCCACAATTTTTTACAAGATATACCAAACTTTTAGTTAAAATGTTAAATATATGCCCTGTGGTTTTCAGCAGATATGAGACCTGATATCAATGAGGATGCTATCTTTGATATGAATAAAAATAATGTGATTTAAATATTATAATTTGGTTAATATAAAGGCCACAACTTTATAAACAACTAAAAACTAGCTGTGGCAAAAACTACCTGATAAGTTTGACCCATAGCATCCATTGCCAGCTTTTGTGGCCCCTGATACATTTTAAACATGAATGTGAGTGGCAAAGCTAGGCCCTACAACACCTCAGACTTGCCAAAGGACCTTGACTGAATGCCAGTCTCAAGTTAGTTCCCTTTTCCATGCTGGTAATACAGGAGTGGGCAAAATGCAGCCCATGGTCTGCATCTGGCCCACTAAGCAATTCCACCCAGCCTGCGGGTGCCCAATTAATTGTACCTCATCCAGCCCAAATGTTTCGCTCCCACCCTGGGGTGCAGAAGGGCCCAGCCCAGCCAGCACACTCAGCTTCTGGGCAGGGCTGCTGCTGCCACTGCTGCAGCTGCTGGGGGACCTGCTCAGCTTCATCGGCTCCAACAGCTCCTCCTCGTCTCCCTGCTGCAGTGCTCACTCTGGGCAGCAGGTAGGGATGTGGCAGGGGCAGGGGAAAGCTGCAGCAGGGGCAGATGGAGGAGTTGCAGCTGGGCGCACAGGGAGCATGGGGTTGGGGCCGGCGGAAGAACAGAGCCCACTCCCAGGGGGGTGGCAGGAGTGTGGAGTTCAGGTGGGCAGGGTGCGGGTGTAGGGGAGGGTGGGGAGCCCCCCCACATTACCCCCTATGATGCACAGCCCCCACTGCCGTCAGCAGCAGCAGCAAAGACAGGCAGGAGCCCTCAGGGTGCTCATGGCACGGCTGCCTGACAACACACAGCTCCTCCCAGAGCTGTACATGGTGACAAGGAGTGCAGAACCAGGTCATCCTGCCCCTATTGAATTCTGCTCCCCACAGCACACATGCAGCTCCCAGCATTCACGCACCACTGGCGGGGGGAGGGGGGGGAAGTCCCACATGATGGAGCTGGCTGCCTTTCCTACCACGTACAGCTGCCAGAACTCTGCCAGAAACGACAGGGAGCCTCACCCTCTGCTTCCATGGCAGCAGCCAGCTCCATTGCATGGAGCTTCCCCAGTGGTGTACACATGCTGGAAGCTGCATGTATGCCATGGGGAGCCCTGCCCAATAAAGGAAGGCCAGACAGACTGCGCTCATTGCCACCATGTGCAGCTCGAGCCAGAACCATGCACAACCAGGCAGCAGTGCACCAAGTGCCCACCCCCCACCACTGCTGATGCTGACAGTGGGGGCTGTGTGCTTTGTGGAGGAGTGTGTGGGAAATCCCCACAGCCCCCAATCCTCCCTCACACCCCACAAATCCCACACACCCACACCCTGTCCCCACAACCCCCTATATATATATACACACACA